GGGCGGCACGACCACCAACCTCCCCTTTCCTGTCCACAGGATTGTGTGCCAGACCGGAGAGGCTCAGGAGGCGTTTTCTGATGTGGTGACGGTTAACGTGAGCCGGGAAGGGAAGTCCAGGGATCGATACTCCTACGTGGTGAGTAGCTGCCTCTTAGATGTTTCTTTGGTGATTCTCACGCTGATCTTCCCTTCATCCCTTAAAACAAGCCTGCAGCCCCTGTGCCCCCAAGCTGGCTTAGAAAGAGGCTCTACGACAAAGCACGTCAGGGTCCTCGAGGAGCAGCTGACATGATTCATCACCTGTGGTTATCTGAGCGAGGTCTGGCAAATCCGGGCTCGGGTGCGAGGGGCAGGACTCAGCCAGGGTGTCGTCACACACAGCCTTGCTCCCAGTCTCAGCTCCTGCAGTCGTTTGTCACTTACCCCGGCTGTATCATCATTTCTCCTGCTATAAAAAGGAGCTCGTTTTTCTTCCTCCTTTTTTGCCGTGTGAGATTTTTTATTATTTGCAAAGTCTCTTTGTGCTATGTAAGTTATGTACCATGGACTCACGTTATTTAGAACTGGTATTTTTTGCTGCAGAGATTGTCTTAGTTTTTGCATGAGAATAATGGGTAGGGATTAGACTTGAGCTAACCCCGTGTCATTACACAAAGAAAAGCCCTTTACAACTTTGTACTGTACCATCTCACAAAGATAACTTTCATCTCTATAAACCTGAAAGAAATCCATGCAGCTCTTCTCTTCCCTACAGGCACCCTCTCTCTGGCTAGACGCTATTCACGGGCAGCCCCATGTGCCCAGGGCACACACCACAGGATGGGTGCCAAGGGCATTCTGTTTACTCGGAGCCTTTGTACTTGTGCTGGGGAAGAATAGATCTGCTGCAGTCTAGTGGCTTGAAAGAAGACTTGAGCCCCAGGAAACAATGTTTGACTCCTGGTAGCCATTGTGAGGAATTTAGGGCAGGATCATGGAATGTAATCCCCCACCCTCTAACCGATTGCGTGTTAGGTTCAGAGAGGTTTACACAGAGTGCAGCCAGCACAGGCACGGCACATCCCAGTGCCCCATAGCAGAGCCAGGCCTGGCAGCGCACGAGGAGGGGACTGGTGAGGCGAGGGCACTGCCAGGCTTGCCTCAGCAGTAGTTCCTGGGAGGACGTTTGCTCTAGGATCCATTCCATGCATCCATGTTCGCATCCAGAATGTCTTAGAGATCCAGCAGTCTGGCGTGGAGCAAGGTACAGCTGGGGTACGACCCAGTAACGGACCTTGGGTTTGGGATTTCTGGTGCGTTGCCATCAGGATGTGTGTGCTGACTCAGCCACATCACTCACTGCCGGCCCGATTGTCTTCTTGACAAAGAGGAGAAGGGCCCAAAGAGTGGGAAAGGGCTGGGCAGCTTCTTCTCCAGCTTTCGCCGTGCAAGGAAAAGCCCTCTCAGGAAACACCTGTAAAAGCACCAGCGCTAAACAAAGCAAGAGGAGCAAAAGCCAGTTGCTGAACTCAAACCAGATCTGTGACAGCTCTGTGCTGGCAGCTCCTGAGCAGGCTTATGGCAAAGGCTGTCCTCCCGGGAGCAGGAGAGGAGCCCTTTTCTGCTTGGGTGGCACAGCAGAAAGCTGTCTTGCGTCTATCTCAGCAAAGCTTGGAGAAGAGATGAGACAGTACCCTGCTCTGTGCATGCGCGTGTCAGGGAGTGAAGCTGCACGATGTGTAGCTGCTGCTGTTTTCCACGCTAAAAGTGGCTTCCGCACCATTTGCAAACTAAGCAATGCCGTTTAGTTTTCTTGATTCTCCTCTCACATACAATGTTATGAAGGTGGAATAGACTACACCATGCAAGGCTGGTCTCGGTGAGACCTGAGCTTGAGCATTGGTAGCAGTTTACCTGAAAAAAGTCTAAAAGACTCTTAGAACTGCCCTTCCAAAGAAAGTCCTTTGTAAAATACTGTTTGTGTGCTACACCTTTCAAAGTCCCTGTTAGACGTATCTAGAAGAGACAGTATTCAGCTGTAATTCTGCTGAGGAGGAGGGAGAAACGTGATCGAGAGACTTCTCCAGGACATTATAGCAGGCTATGGATGAGCTGGATTTGCCAAATGAGCTGAATTTGCAAAAGTTGTGATGGAGGCAATCAGTGCTGGCAATGCACTGAGAGCAGTAGCCACTGGCTCTTGCTGAGGGGAAGAGCTGGAGGGCTTTGAAGAACATGAATAATCCTCTCTGCTGTTGTTGTAACTGCAGATTTGAATGCATAGGTTAGGGGCCAAGGGCAGGAGACAGCTGCCTTCAGACACTCAGAGAAATACAAATTAACAAAATGAATCCTGTGGAAGTCAGTAATGATCAGAAACAACAGAGGAAATGGCTGTAGAGAAATAAAGCAGTCTGAGTGTAGGACAAGGACAAGGATAGCTATTAATAAGCATGTTTGTGTGGCTGGGATTGACGGGAAAGGGCATTAGCAGGCGGTACGAAGCAGCTTAGCCCATGTTCTTCAGTCTGCCTCAGTGCGGTTTTGCTCTGCGGCTGCAGCGAGGGATGGGCTGTGGCAGTGACCAGGCTTCAGCCGTGCTCGCAGCCTGGTGGGTCTCGTGTCCCCAGGGTTTGCGGTGTTTGACAGGGAATTACCAAGTGCCTTATGGAAGGGTCTTGAAATAATTATTTGCTCTGCCCTTGGTGTCCTATTCAAACCGGAGCAGGGAAGTTGCCCAGCAGACTCTCCTGGGGCGCTCTGTGTAGCAGGCATGAGGGTTTAGCACTGCATTAGTTATCAAAGGCTCGAGCTCATGAATCTCAGGAAGATTTCCAGGGGCTGCAAATGTAGATAACATACATGCTAATTTCTGCTGAAAATGGCAAGAGGCAAAGTAACTTCCCCCTTAGTTCCTGTCGCCTCAAGAGATTCAGATTTGAAGCTTCCTTAAGGAGGAGTTTGATATTCAGTTATCTAGACGCAGGTGGCTGTTTCCCAGATCTCAAGGCCATCATCCAGTGGAGCTTTAGCATTACCTTTGCATTCAGGAGGAAATGGATCGGGAAGGGCAGAGATGGTGGGAGCTGGAATGAATGAGAAATTTCCTTTTGTTGATGGGACCTTGAGCTCTTGCCAGCTCTGGACCCTCCACTGGAAATCGCAAGGGACTGGTGGGTTCCTGGGCTCCAGTTTGGACTTAATGTCTCATTTATTGCCAGAATTTAGGGACTGCAGGGAGTCGCAGAGGTTTTATATGATATCACTCCTCAGCACTTGTACCTCTCTCCTTGTTCTGAAACCCTGCCAGCAAAAACTTTTGTTGTGCTGCTGTTTCAGAGCCTCACAATACTGGATACTTAAATTTACTGAAGCAATTCCCACGTGCAGTGTGGAGTATCCAAATGTGAATTTACCACGCTAGAAAACAGATTTCCCCTTTGTTTTTAGCTTCCTGTGGTGCAGTCCATAGCTCCCCTGAATGGGCCGAAGGCTGGAGGAACCAGAGTGACCATTAGAGGCAGCAGGCTGGACGTCGGCTCTGAGCTCCGTGTCCTTGTCAATACCTCCAAGCAGTGCACTGACCTCAGGTGGGACCGGATCTGGGGGGCTGGCACTGAACTAGCGACAAAAGCCAAAGTGTTAGGAAGGATGATATTGTCCTCCAGGAGATCAGGAAGAGCTGGGGTTTCGGTGGGGGAACACCACTGCATGCTGCTGCTAGCCTTGGAGCCAGCATAGCATCCTCACCAGCCCGCTTGGCTGCCATGTGCTCCATTTCCAGTGCCCCGTCAGCCTGGTATCCCCGGAGCGGTGAGGCAGAGCTGACACCAGGATGGGGCGAGTTTCTCTGGCAAAGCGATGGCGTTGGTGTTGCCGTGATGTGGCGGCAGTGACCAGCAGCAAACGAAGTGCTTTTTGCGCACCGCTTGCACGATGCTGCCAGGCCCCTTGGGTGGTCTGGGACCAGGACCAAAACCCTGGGAGTGAAGCAGACATGGGCTTCGTTCCAAGATCTGCTGAAGGCAGAAGGCACCTGCACGCCCAGGGTCCCACTCCTGCAGCAGCTCGCTGGTCGGAAGAAACCCCTCCTCCTGTGTGTTCCCATCTCATCAGCGGGAAGAAGTAGGAGCCTGCCCTTTTCCTTCGGCTGTATGGGAAATCAATCCGGCAGGGATGGTATATGCTCAGAATCGCTTGTTAGTAGGCAATGTAATTAATAGGTGATTGGCACGGGACTGGAAGCTCCTTCTTGCCTGTCTCTGCTGACCACCTCGCTTCCCTGAGGGGGTTCAGGTCTGCAGTGCCTGGCTCTGGCCGCTCTGTCTGCCGTGGCTTTCCGCAGCTTACTCTGTCTTTCCCTGCGCAGCCGCAACGACAGCACCATCACCTGCACCATGCCATCCGCGGAGCTCACCACGGCCGTGCGAGTCTGTGTCCAGTTCGAAAACAAGTCTTGTGCCAGCTACAACATCACGTTCAAGTATGAGAAGAACCCGATTATATCAGACATCAACCCCAAAAAGAGCCAGATCAGGTGAGACCCCTCCCCCAGCAGAGACAGCCAAGTCTGCCAGGATTTGTGGCCTTTGTTGAGATCAGTCTCTTAATTTTTGCCGAATGCAAAAGTGAACAGTGCTCTCCCATCAAAGCATAGAGCAAATTGGAGTATCCTGGTGTAGCCCGCTGCAGGCTACGCAAGCTCACCCTGTCTGTGCTTCAAGCCATGCAGACGCAGAGTAGATCCTGAGCAAACCCCACGTCAGGAGCCCAGGAGTCATTGAAGCACAGCCAGAAGGCAGGGTACGGTATCGAGGCCCTGTGCCACGCTGTTGTAGCATTGTGACTTCCATTTCAGAGCTGGCGCGTGTCTGCAAGAGAGGGTCGGCTCCAGGCTGGTGGCAGAGGGTCCTGCAGGGAGAAAGGGGCTTTCTCAGCCCTGGGGTTTGACACATTGCCTTGCAGACAAGTGCAAAAGGGGCACAGCAGAGTGCTCTCAGGGTGCTACTGGAGTAGAAGAGGTCTCCCACACCAGGACTGTCCGTAGCTCATTTCAATGCATTTAAGTCATGGAAAAAAGTCAACCTTGTACTGCGTACACCTGGTGGGTGCTTTAGGGAGGTTCAGGTGGGGGGCTTTATTGAGACCCTGAGGATTTTTCTTGGCAGTAAAACTGCTGGAGGATAAGCTGAGATTTGTAATTTTGGATTTCAGCCTTCCCCGAGGTCACAGTATTTCATTTTTAGTGTGTTGCTTTTAATTTCATGTGTCTCTGTGGAGTTCTCAGGCTCCTGTTTCTTTGAATACTATGGTGAAATCCCACCTTCCTTGGCTGTGGAGCCTGGAAAACCCAGGGCTGACCAAGAAATCTGAGAGTCCAGCACCTGTGCCTGCAGGACCATGCTGAAAGCAGCACGCTTGGGCGCAAGCACACAGCAGGCTCTGACGGTCTGATCCCCTTGGAGCAAAGCCGTGTCTCGGCATTTTTTTCATTCCCAAGCGCAGCGCCAAAGATGCAGGCTGTGGGAAAGTTAATGACAAGGCACAGCAGTGACTCAGCCAACCTCAGCTCCGAGCAGGCTTGCAAACTATGCTGAGTGGCGAGAGCGGTATCTAAGCACAGAGACAGTGGAAGAATGTCACTGCCCAAATTCACAAGGGAAACCACCAGGGTATTTCTCCGTCACCTTAGTCTGCTTTCTTAGTATTTACATCAGTTTCCGAATTTCAGACCACTGAGAACGTGACAGCAGTCTCTCTCTTCAGACTGCTTGGTGGCTCATGTAGCCTGACTGCTCCGGTGCGTTGCTGGGCTGTTGATCATGGGGGTTCAATAACTTGTGTAAAAATCTAGCTGGATCTGATTTATCTTACCATATTACTAAAATAATCTCTGTAAGCAAAGTTTAAAACAAAACAGAAATTGTAAACTAGTCTGCAGATGTGACAGGCTCTTAGTTAGAAACTTGGATCGTAACTACATGGTAATATCTACCATTGTAGATAGCATTGTAAAAGATTTCAGACAACCTGACTTTCAGGGCCTTGGACCCCAAATCACTGAGTCTGGAGTGGTCTTGAGATTACGGGATTTTGTAAGTCCTGACTGTTCCTGACAGATACTCCAAACAGATCAAATGTGGTACAGAGGAAGGGGAAGGTAAACCCAGGATATAGCTTCTGCTGTTCAGAGCAGACAAGCAGTGCGGGTTCTCCACCCCTTGCTCTGCCTAGCAGTCTTGTGTGCATCAGGGCCCTCGTTACTGTCATTAATTGACTGCACATTGAGAGGCCCATGTTTCACATTCCCCAGGCAGCAGATCCAAAACACAAAACAACTTTCACATTTTGATCTAAATCAGAAGTGTCTGGGAGATGCAGGATCCTTGTCAACCTTAAAGGGGTCTCTTCCTTCTCCAAGACTTACAGTTCTCTGCGGGTCGCTGCGGGGCAGGGGCAGGGGCAGGGACAGGGAGTATCTCCTGACCCTTGCTTTGAGGGGTTGACGTTAACCTCTTACACCGCCGGTGGCCTGGGCAACCTGCTGCCTACCCCCTGGCATGCAGAGGCAGGCTGCTCCTCTGGGGAGTGGGAGCAAGGGGGACAGTTTTCTGCTGCTTGAAGAGGCCCTCCCTTTCTACCAGCAGCTGCTGCTCCTCCTTCCTTCCCTGATATCTTGGTAGCAGTGTGGGTGCTTGCTGCAAGTAGGAGGAAGACCTTGGCTGTTGGGTTACATTTTCTGCTCAAGCAGGTGGGAAACATCCCTGGGAAAATGGCAGCAGGCACCCCCAGCCATTGCACCTCGCTGATCTGTGTTGTCCTCTGCAGTCACCCTCTCTTTTCTTCCCTTCTCCTCGAAGTGGGGGCAGGATCATCACCCTGGAAGGAAGAGGCTTTGAGCTGGTCCAGAATGTGTCCATGGTGGTCCGTGGCATCGGCAGAGAGCAAACGGTGAGTAATCCCCGCTGGGTATTGCCTGGTAACTGGGAGCAGGGCTGCGTGCCTGGTGCCTGAAGATGTTTGGGGTGTGAAGCTGAGGCCTTAGCCCGTGCTACAGATTGGGCTGGGGGCAGGGTGGGTGGGAGCACTCAGGATATCAGTTTTTTGATGTGCATGCTCTCCTGCTTTCAGAGCTGTAAGGTTCACACCGACACTGTGATCACCTGCCCCTCTCCAGCTGCCTCCAACATCACCGTGGGGAGCAAGCCCGCGCCCGTTGATTTCTATCTCAATGGTCGCCTCTATGCAGACGACCGTCTGGCTCTGGATGAGGAGATGTACCCCGAGGAGGCCTTGCACATCAGCAAGTTCAGCCTGGAGTACTATACCGACCCCCAGTTCTTCACAGCCAAGAAGGAGAAGTGGATCAAGCACCATCCTGGCGAACCCTTAACTCTGGTTATACATGTAAGAGAGTGGCATTTACAGCTCTGCTTCTTCGGGGGCGTTGCCTGCTCCCCACTGGGAAGCTCTTCAGTCCTAAGTGCCAGCACAGTGAATGTCCACAAACGCAGGAGAGAGGAGGGGGGCAGACGAGGATGGGAGAGGCAGGAGCCACGCAGGGGCAGGCAGTTCTTGCTCAGCCTGCTGCACCTGCATCAATCTTCACCAGGAGACGCAGCCTGACCTGAGGATGCCCTTTGAGGCATGACGACAGAGAGCTGCATTTGAACGGTGTATTAGCAAGAAGCTAAATAAAATACTGGACGTATGAAAAAGAACGATAATGCACTGACCTGAAATCAGTCAGGTACTCCAGATGGCCCTGACAATAGATATCTATTCCTGCAGAAATGGGTCATGCATTCTTCTCTTTTGGCTACTGTATTCAGCTTGGTTAACAAGGAAGTCAGGGTACAGCAATTGAGTGGCTTGGACAATGCACAGTAGTAATTCAAAGGCCATTGTTCACTGCAGGATATCCTCACTGGTTGTAACGTGCTTCAGAAACGCACTCCCCCTTTCTCAGGCTCTGCAGACGCATCCCCTGGCTATCTCCTCTGTTGTACATCCTTCCCCCCTCCCAGGTGGGCGCTTAGATCCTTATCTGCAGTGCACAGCCAGGGCAGATCAAAAGCAGATTTTTCCAGGTTCCACGAGGGTCTTGCTCGTCCCATGCCCCATGCTGTGTGAGGAATGGGAAACAGGAAAATGGGGAATGGCCCAGTTCTGGGTTTCCTGTGGAATCCTGGAAAAATGTCCTTGGTGAGGGAGAGTCCTCCCAGGTCTGAAAAACAGCAGGGAATATGGAAAGTAAAACAGGAAAATCTGTTGCAATTCCAGCTGCTACTCTAAAGACTGACATCCTGATTCTACTTTTGTCATTAGAAAGAGCCTGACAGCCTGGGCCTGGAAAGCAATGAGTACCAAGTGAAAATTGGCCTTATCTCATGTGAGATCCAGATTGTTTCGGACAAAGTCATCCACTGCTCTGTCAACGAGTCGCTGAGCACCTCAGAAAGACAGTTACCCGTGACGGTGAGTTCCAGGAGCCTTCACGCTCTGAGTGCGTGGGGCAGAAGGGGTCCCTGCTGCAAACCCTGCGTGCGAAGGAGTCAGCTGTGTGCACGGGCAGGACCTGCCGGGCACGCTCACAGGCTGCCTTGCAGAAAGCTGCACGGACGGAAGGGTGGACAAAGCACGCTGTGCTTGCAGCTGTCCCCAGGGCGGCTCGTTGGTGGGATGCAGGCGTAGTCAGTGCTAAGGCTGCTCTGAGTCATGGAGGGGGGCTGCCACGCTCCAAATCATGGGGCACCAGCCTGCTGAGTTAACTGTGCTGTAAGCTGCGGAGGGAACATTTTGTCAGTTCTTGTAAGGCACTATGAAATCCCAGGCATGTGAGGTTTTGTCAGTTGCAGTCATTTTCTTTCGGACCCTCATGAGATATGTTTGGGGATTTCCATACAGTTTTCAGTGAGCTGGCCTCTTACTGCCAGCAGAAGAGCTACAAGTGGACATTAGAATCCGACCCTTACCAAACTCCAATAAGCCACTGGAGATGGGTCCCTGTGTGTGACTGGGGAGGGCAAGAGGAGTATGCAGGGCTGGAAAGTTTCATGTTGCTTCCCAGGGGCTGCCGTTTTGTCACTGCGAAGAGTTCAGTGTTCAGGGCTGTTGTTCATCTTTGTGTCTGCAAAATTCGCAATGCTTTGTTACCGTCCTTTTTTCCACAGAGGACTTGACTTACCACTCTTCTCGCTCTCAGTTTCTCTCATGTCATGTGCAGCCCATTGCCACGCAGGGGTGTGACTATGGCTCTTTGTATCTGGAGAGAAAATGCCTCCATTTCCATGGTCTGAGACCCTGCAGCCCCGCTCCTGTCCGTGTGTTAAGAGTGAATGGGTGGGAGCCTGCGGCGTGGGCAGGGGGGAGGAGGAGGGCTGCAAAGGGAGTTGAGGAGGCTGTGGACTTGCACTGCCCAGAAGAAAGGCACGAAGATGCACCGCCAATTCACTGACAGGGTTGTCTGGTTTACTGGTTACAGTCTGTGGTGTATGAAATTCTGTTGCAAACTGGAAACATGGAAATGCAGAAGTAGCAGAATTTCCCAAGTCATTTTAATGGAAATTTTGAACAGGGTAATTTTGGTTTTAGTGAGAACTGAGAAACAGGGAAATCCCTTTGGGGAAGAAAAGGAATTTATGAGTTTCTTAGTTTTGGTTTGACATAGAACATTCAGAGCAATGCCCTAGTAAGTCTCTAGGAAGCAGGAGAATGACACCCAGACCTAAAGTATCACATAGCTATTAAGAGTGTACCAGCAGTGAGAGTGCAGCTAAATGATCAACTTGTATTCATGTCTGTGCACGCTTATTAAACCTTCATACGTGGTTTGAGTCATCGCCTGCTAGCCATTTCATAGGCAGCAGCTGCCTTTATAACATACTTGTAATAGCTTTGATAACACGGGGCCAGACTTGCGCAGTGGTCCCTATCTGATTTGCATCAAGGACAGCTGTCGGGCTGCAGAAGCCTCGCCTGCTGATGCAAATTCTCTCTTCTGGCGAGCTGAGATGCCTGTTGTTGTGACTGCCCAGTTTGTTCTTGTTTAGATGGTAGAGCTCACATCTGCGGTGATCAGAGCACAGGAAAACAGCCCTTTAAAATGTGTCCTACTGTTGATCTTAATTCTGACTGTGATTTTGGGTATGCCTGTTCTGTGAAGGTGTTCTCGGGCCAGGTCCATGTGAGCAAGTCGCACAGGGCAGCAGGAGCTGTTTGTAGAGAGAAGGAGCCGGTGATGAAGATGGGGCTCCTGAGCGTCCCTGTGTTTTTGGGGGTCACTTTCAAGTAGCTCTTTTGGGAGTGCCTTAGGTGAGCTGGAACTTGATTTTGGTCTAGTTTTGTCCCAAGGGGGGATCCCGTTCACACCCTGGGAGGCTGCAAGACGGCTCCATCCCGTAAGCTGGAGCGTGGTTCCCGGTGACCCCCGAGGCGGCCCCGTGCCCCAGGAGTCCTGCCCAGCCCAGACAGCTCTTCCCGGGAGCAGCGTGTCCTTCGTCCTGGCCCCTTCTGCACCCCCGCCACGTGCTAGTGACAGGAAATGTTGACATTTAACCTGTGGCCTAGTTAATTCCCCTTACAAAAAATTGTATTGAGTAGACCTGTCCAAATAAACAGGAGAAGCTTGCTGAGGCCTTCAAACCCATTTTTGTTCATGACCAAACTGTTTAAACACTGAATTAAGCAGCAAGCATGGGATTTCTCCTCTGGCAAATGCAAAAGGTTGAGTTGGTGGGAAAAAAGACTCAAAACTCATTGAGGACTTGCCTCATTGCAGCATTTCAGATGAAAGAGGTGGAAATCTTGAGGCTAGGCAGGGTGCTCTGCACACTGTCAAACGAACCTCCGCAGATGCTTGCGCAGTACTTGTGGCTTCCCGTCCCCATCCAGCATCTCGGCTCCTAGCCAGCGCGCAACGGGTGGGAGACCGGAGCTCTTAGTGTTGGACGCTGCCTGGAGGTACCACCCCAGAAACGGTCAGCACCAGAGTCCATCTGAGGGCTGGTACAAGGGCACATTGGGCTTGGAGGCACGGGAGCCTGGCCGTGTGGTCCAGCACTGATGTTCAGAGGTGCTGAAGGTTTTCCTCGCCCTGGGTGATGGCAACCGGTGTTGCCTGCAGCAGGGTGCTCCTTTCTCTCCTGCCTGTGGAGGGAGCAGTGCAGGGGCAGACCTCCAGGCTTGTCCGAATGCCCTCAGCTGGCAGCATCAGTGCCCTCACCAGCACTTCCAAGAGCAAGGGCTTGGATTTCCCGGCGGGCACGGAGCTGTGCGCTACGCGGTGTTTGATGCATGGACGTGGTGGGAAGGCCCTGCTTGTGGCACTACTTTGGCCCAGCCGCTGAGAGCTGACTGTAATTTAACCACAGTGTGCGCCTGTCCCGGAGGTGCTCCGTGACACAGATGTAATCATAAGATTATTCCATCTCCTCCGTACCTCGTTTCAGTTTTTTTTGCTCAAGTTTCTCTCGCTTCTCATTCCTTGAGAGAAGTGAAACTCGCATTTCCAGCAGCAAAAGACTTACGTGGTCATGAGTTTTCCTTATCAGATGATGCTGTTGAACCCTTTCATCCCAGGGGCCTAGAAAGCCATTTATAAACAGCACCGAGTAAACTCGCCAGCCTGCCTGTGATGTGTGTTGGCCTCTTCCCTTCTGGTGATCAGGAGACCAAAGGACTGAGCTCAAGTGGTTTGTGCTTGGTGTCACAAGAGCAGAGCTGGGTTGGGAGCAGAGCCAGCACCTCCTGACACCCAGTGCACTGCTTTAGCCACAAGATCATTACTCGTCTCTGGTCTCATTATTATTTATTTTTATTCTCTTAGTTTATTTGTATTTCAGAGACTTTAAAGTTTCTTTACCCTCCTTCTCGTGAGTGGCAACAGTTCTGCTTTTGGAAGAGAAAGGAGAGTGCAGCTGGGATTCAAAGGCCGTTCAGAGGCATAACAAAGTTGGATCATTAGTGGAAGTCATTTTCTAGTAAAAGTAGTACAGGCAGTACTATATGGTATGGTGAGCTCTCTAAGAAGGGTTGTCTCATGCTCTGGGGTGGGTGCGATGGGGCCGTGACATGGGCTGGAGCCTGCAGCTCTGCCACTGAAGCCCTATGGTGGCCCTAGGATGGGCACCACTGCGATACCGCAGCCTGCTGTAAGCTGGCCTCGGCTTTCCACCAGAGCACGCAGGAAGGGAATTGGGCTCTTTTGAGGTGCACAAAGTCCCTGAGGTCCAGCAGTGAAAGGCACAGCCCCCACGAAGCCTGGTGCGCTGAGCCAGCATGGTCAGTACATCCTTGGCCGAAGATCTGCCAAGCACTGCCCCATAGTCCCTCCTTGCTCGACCTCTGAGCCGCTTGGCAACGTGCTGCTCAGCTCCTGCTTTTCCTCCTTCCTTCTCCCTCTCTAGATCCAAGTTGGAAAGTTCAACTATACAATTGCGATGCTGCACCTTGGGGGAGGAGAGACCGCAATCATCGTCTCCATTGTCATCTGCAGCATCTTGCTGGTCCTCTCTGTTGTAGGTAAGGGAACAGAACGATGAGTTTTCAGGCTGTGCCGAGATTTTTTCTCATTGCATGTGAAGGGCTGAAGTTGACTTACTCACACGTTAGGAAACCTCTGAGTGCTGCAGTTGTGCAGTATCTGAAACTGGTCTGGGTGCAGCAAGTAGCCACTCTTCTTTGTATGGGACCAAGGCAGTACCCAGGATCAAAGCTTCCTGCAGCATGGAGCATTTGTTGGCTGAATCTGTTACTTGAGCCTGTGATATTTATAAACTTACCCTGTTCCCCCAAACACTCAGTAGCTACTATAATACAAAATAAAGAAGGTTGTGAGAAACTGATCCTGGACTCGTACTGACTTGAACGGGGCTCATTCACAGGCATGACTGTCCCAGACCATCCCAAAGGTCCACCTAGCCCGAGGTCCTGTCATCAGTAACAGCCAGTGACAGGCATCTGGCAAAGAGTATGAAGAACAGAGCAAGCGTCCTTAGCTCAGATCTGGAGCAGACACAACAGTTTGCTAACCTCACTGGAAGCTGTGCAACACACCTGTGTCCTCTGGCTAAGGTATCTTCTCATCACGTGCCCAGAATGACTGTGCAGCAAGAAACCTGTCAGTTCACAGCAAATGAGGTGTTTCTAATAGGGATTTAATTTATTTTTAATAAAGGTTATAATGCACGCTATTTATTAAATGCACCACCTGTCATTAGAAACATATTTCTGGAGGCATGGGAAGACTGTCAGACATGAACACTGTAATACAGGTGGTAAACGTCTTAAAATCTGTATTCATTAATCGGCTGGAATACATTAATATACAGTTAAGCTGAATATAGACAGCCCAGACCTAAATTGAAGATGACAGTTACAGCATGATCATTATATTCCAGCTGGTTTTACTTATTTACAGATAATCGACAACTGCCTGATCAGATACCAGTCTTGTTGTAGGTGTTAAACCAACACTGAGTTTAGCTTTCTGCACCCGTGTCAGCAGAGGACCACTCTGATCCCAGCTGCAGCTGCTCCTAAGCCCTAGTCCCAAAGACTTGTTCCCTTCCTCTTTTCCAGCTCTCTTTGTGTTTTGCACAAAGAGCCGCAGAGCGGAGCGCTACTGGCAGAAAACCTTGCTCCAGATGGAGGAGATGGAGTCGCAGATCCGGGAGGAGATCCGCAAAGGTAAGTCACCATGCTGGGCACCGAGGAGGAGCCAGGACTAGGAGGGAGATGCTGGAATAGCAGGGTTGAAGCCATTTGACTTCTACTCTGTAGAAGTTTATAGAAATATTTATAGGAGAATTTCTGTCATCGCCTTCAAGCTTCGGCAGGATTTGTGAATGAGGCTCAGTGGCTGGAAGTGTGGCTCTGCCACTGTCTTGCTGCCTGACTTGGGCAGGCCACTCATCTTCATGGCCACTGGTTTCCCTGTCTCGGGGCTAATGGCCCTTGGACATGTCAGAGGGTTGCTTGAAGGCCATGCTAATCTTTAGTGTGCTTTACGATTGGGTGCAACAAAAATCGCAGCACACTCCTGCTAGAGCAATGGGAGAAGCAATCCGAGTGTCTGCATCTGCTGTCCCCACGGTAGGTGACTCTGCAGCGTAGGCTGAGGTCCTCCTCCTGCAGAACCAGACTGGGGGCTGCTCTCCTGGAGGCAGGGGAAACGGTTTCTCTGTCAGTGCTGCGGGACATGATGTATAGTGCTGATGGTGAAACCCTGACGGTAATCTGCTCCTCGAGAAACCCTGCTTCCGCCCACTCGAGGGAAAGGCTCGAGGAGGCAGAGATGAGACATGCCACATTTTTCAGTGCCAGCCTGCTTACTGTTTCAGCTGGTAGAGTATCGGAGCTCTTACCATCTGCGGGTCTCTTTGTGTAAGGTTTTGCGGAGCTGCAGACAGACATGACAGACCTGACCAAGGAGTTAAACCGCAGCCAGGGAATCCCGTTCCTGGAGTACAAGCACTTTGTCACTCGGACGTTCTTCCCCAAAGTAAGGCGATACCACGTTTCACGGGCATCTAATCGCTCCCAGTTCCTTCCTAACCACATCAGGGCTCTGCTTTCCCTCTGCTAAAGGGTTATTAGTATAACAAAATCATTCCACTGTTGCATATTTAGTTGTCATGTATTTCAGCCTCAATTATCGTCAAAAGTGGAGCCGCAGCTCCTGGGATGTGAAGTAAGGTCGGGCTTGCTCGCACACGATAGGACCCCGGTGGCAGCACCATCCTGGGCATCGCTCTGGCTCGCCCGTTTGATGCCGTTGGACACCCTCTTCTGAAAGCACTCTTTCACATAAGCAGAAAGTGCTGGAGACTCCCCCTTCTCCCCAGGGGCTCTAATATCACCCCACTTTGTTCGGCGGAGGCTGAGGCTGAAGGGTGGCTGAAAGGCGTATCTGCCGTCAGCGTCCAGGGAGAGGGGGCTTTTTGTTCCACGCAGTGTGCCACTGAGCATTCCCAGCTGCTCTGCCAGTCTTCAGGAGCTCGTTAGATGTCTCTGTGTCCCCCTTTCTCTCCTCGCTGTCAAAGGCTGGGCACATGGTGCTCCCAGTAAGATGCCCCTTGGGCACCCAGTCCCAGTCTGTCTACCCAGAGTCCTCCTCCAGGGCCGCACCAGACACGCCGGTGCCGTAATTCCTGTCACCGGCTGCTCCGCTGTGTTGCTGTGCGCCCTTAACAGCGGCTGTATTTCACCCCTGAGGCAGTTGCATTTCAGTGGTGAGGAGTGAGATGATGATTTATGACTGCAGAGTGTTTCATTAGTCGTTATTACTCAGGTTTTTAAGTTATCCAATCTCTATATATCTGCACACTAGAGTCTTTAAGATTCAGACTGCTATATGAATGTTAGAGATTTAAACATTTTTCCCATCTGTTTCAAAAGTTACATATGTTAAAACACCCAGTACTCCTCTATTTTGACTTAGTCTTCTATAATGCTTTCTCTTCTGGGATTTTTCTAGCTGTCAAATTAGTCTATTTGCAGTCTCCCTACCCTAACAGCCTCGTGTCTGCGCAGACATCTGCCTCCCCCCATTCTTGTGGTGTTTGCTCATTCAAGAGGATCTTGCAAAGTGTTTAAAGGCTTCGTAAACCATACCAATGCATTTCTTCATAACGGGTGGTCTTCAGTGCCGATGACATGTCTCTCTCCGTCTTGTTCCCTTGCGGTGCACGGCAAACGAGGAGGTCCCTGGCCGGGTGCAGCCGCCCTCCCCTAATGCTGTGCTTGGTTGCAGTGTTCCTCGCTCTACGAGGAGTGCTACATCCTGCCGTCCCAGCAGCTCAGCTCCCAGGTGGGCTCCCAGGTCCAGGAAACTCATCCGCTCCTGGTGGGGGAATGGAAAGTGAGTAACCCACTAACAAAAAAAAGGCTCTTGAGTGGTTGCTAACCATACTCGTGTGTGTTGACAATGCCATGCGGTTTCTTGTGGTGCCTGGGGGATGCTTGATCACTCAAAACAATTAACACATACCGGAATTGGATCAGCTTTGGCTGATTGGAGAAGGCAGATGCGTGGATCTGCTCTCACACGAAGGACCTCTGTCCTGAGATCCTCCCCACCTCTGCTGTGGGCTTTTCTTCCTGGGTGTATCATATTGTGTGTTACTTCAGTCCCATATGCAGTTCATCATAAATGAGATTATTCCCAAGCAGGGACTTGGTAAAAGCTGTTGTTGACCCAGAGCTTGGTTTCATGTGGACAAGAAGTAGGAATTGAAGAATCAGAGAGTCACTTAGGTTGGAAGGGAGATCTGCTTAAAGCAGCTCCAACTAGATGGGGTTGCTGAGGGCCTTGTACAGCTGTTTCCATCTTCAAGGATGGTAATCTCACAGCCTCTCGGGGTGCCGTTCCAGTGTCCGACCACCTTAAAGGCGAAAACTTCCTTCCTTGTATTTAATCAGTGTCCCATGCTCCAGCTGGTGTCCCTTGCCTGTCATCCTAGCACTGTGCCAGCAGAGAAGAGCCTGGCTCTGTCTTCTCTGCCCTCCCACAGGGCAGCTGAAGACTGCAGTAAGATCTCCCTTGCCACATCTTCTTAAGGCTGACCAAACCCAGCCCTCTCCACCTTTCCGTGTATGCCTACTAATTGTTTTGGCAGCCCTCAGCTGCACTTGCTCCGGTTTGCCAACGTCCATCTCATAGTGGGGAGCCCAAAACTGGCCACGGTACTCCAGGTGGCCTCACAAGTGGTGAACAGAAAGGAATGGCCACTGCCACTGCCCCGCTGGCCGAGCTGCTTCTGATACAGCCCCGGACGCAGTCGTGCCCTCACCAGGAAAGCATGCTGCTGACTTGTGTCAAGCAGAGGGAGTAAGGGGTCTTCAGCTCAGTCATCCTTGCAGTCAGGAAGCATAAAAGCTGTAGGAGAACAACAAGCAGGGTTTTTCTCACTCTGCTTTCTAAATTTTTTCTTTAGATCCCTGAAAACTGCAGACCCAATATGGAAGAAGGAATCTCGCTGTTCTCCACCTTACTCAACAACAAGCACTTTCTCATCGTGTTTGTCCATGCTCTCGAGCAACAGAAGGACTTTGCTGTTAGAGACAGGTATGAGCGTCAAAACCAAAGACCTGGCAGCTGGAGGAGACTGATTTATTCCTAACCTGTAAGCAATCCAGCCCATGTGTGGAGCCGTGCAATTCAGTTGAAGGTTGTTACACTTGCCTCCCACTTTTCTATTAGAAATGGATGGCCATAAACCTCTCTTATCCTGAAGAGCACCAAAAGGTATGAGTTGACTCACTTGTGAGTGTTTGTATCCCTGAACACTTGGTTTACCAGTTAGAAGGTGTGAGCTGACCCAAGGTTCTACACCACTGAAAGAGGGTTTGAAGTTTTAACACCATTGAGAAGGCTCATGAAGATTGTCTGAAATACTGCCTTTGTGCTTTTGGTGTCTTTTTATGCCAGTTGGCAGTTTAGTCTTGTTGGATTGGTGCTTGAGTTACACGCAATTCTGTGTTTCAGATGTAACCTGGCCTCCCTGCTTACTATTGCGTTGCATGGGAAACTGGAGTATTACACCAGCATCATGAAGGACCTCTTGGTGGATCTAATAGATGCTTCAGCTTCCAAAAACCCCAAGCTGATGCTGAGGAGAACGGAATCTGTGGTGGAGAAGATGCTCACCAACTGGATGTCAATCTGCATGTACAGCTATCTCAGAGTAAGAGAATCAGATCACTGCTGTTGTGGGTGTGAGTTCAGCACCGCGTGCAGCGGTAATGAGGGATGTGTGGGACAGCTGAGGACCTAAATACCTGCCAGCATTGCCACTTGAACGGTCACTAATGGTTGACAAACTGTAGTGTATTGAAAGGTTCAAGTGTGGAAAAGCAACCTTAAGTTCAGTTGCTTCTCCACTTCTGCCTGGGGATTTGGTGAGATCAGACTTCGCGGCAGGCCTTTCCTAAGGCCAGAGCACGAACTAACGTTTTTCACCAAGCTTGAGAAGAGAGCTGTGGGGGAGTTGAAAAAATAACCAGAATAGCTTGAGGTTTTGGAAACCATTCCAGTTATTTGTTGTTTTCTCTGACCAGCTTGCGCAGCCGTGCTGATGGTCGCCCGCCAGTTCAGCATTGTCTGTCTCGAGCGCGAGAGCCCCGGCTGTCGGGAGGGGTGGTGGCGCTGGGGCAAGGGGCTGCTCTGTGTTGGTGCCCGTTGGTATGTCGGGCTTCTTGCGCGGGAGGCGTCCTCGTGGTTCCACACTGGCCAGAGAGATCTTAGCAGGAGAAGTGGGATGTCTGTCCCAGAAGTCGGACTGTCTTCTGATGGTAGCGAAAAGGAATATATTTGGCGTCTCAGAGCACATCAGCAGTCCATCTGTTCAGTGCTTTATCTCCAATGTTTGCCAGTTCTGGGTGGAATTTCCCAGAAGAATTGAGCAATAACTTAATTGATTCCACGGCAGTTAATTGGAGGATACCCCATTATACCCACAGGGGAGAGCCTTGAAAAAGCCTTTGAAAAATCTCTTTTCCCGAAGTGTTTGCTATAGCCACAGAAGCAATACTGTATTGTCCTTATACATATTGTAATGTCTTCTGATCCCAGCTGATGATCACTTTTTGTCCTAAAGCTTGTGGTTTTGTAGTTCATAATCTTTCATTTTAGCTCACATAATTAGCCAGTATAATGAAAGAAAAGTTACAGGAGCGAATGAGGATGGCTGTGCCGATGCAGCACAGCTATCCAGCCTGTAAGAGCTGAAAAGAGTGAATTAGTGATTTTTTTTTTAATCTCCAGTTTTTGTGCCTGTAGTTAAACCATTGGAAAAAAAAAGTGCTGATCTCTTCTTTTGGAGAGTGGAGACCACATGTGAGGCATCTGATCCAACTCCAGTTTATGCTAAAAATGGACATTGTGCAAGAAGGCTTTCTCGGGGGAAAAAAAAAAGAGGAAAGAAAGTCGAGTCTTATCACGCGGGCCTGAAGACTTGGGCATGTTACATAGCTAATTAATGGCGAGGAGCTCCCGAGTGCCGGCACGCCACCCTTCCCTGGGGCGCTTGGCGGGGCGGTGCCTGTTACTGCAGGCTTGTCCAGGGCCAGTGGCGGGGCCGTGGCCGTCCTGCGGCTGGGGCAGTGCAGACCACGCTGGTGCGAGCTGTGAGCTGGCTTTCCTGTGCCGTGCAGCCCTGGCCCGCCTCGCGAAGGGAGGAGGAAGGACAGGGTACGGTCAGGAGCGGGTCTGCTCTTTGCAGAGCTGATGGGCCGCCAGCTGAACCTGCATTTCCATCCACCTGTGGATGGGTCCTCAGCAGGGGCTAACGTTGCACGCTGGGTTTACAGTCCTCTCCTTGCTTCACGTGCTCAGCCTGAAGCCATGCAGTGAAGACTACTGCGGCACTTTCTACCGCAGACTATTTTCCATTTCTGAAAAGCAAACGGTTTCCATACTAGGGTGCAATAAAGAGTTGATTTCCAAGAGAATTTCACATCACGTGCTCCACAGTGAGGGTGGGGGACCTGATCCGAGGAGAAACCGTGCTGCCTGCTGAAATACGGAGGAGGAAGAGAATTGATCAGACAGAAATGTCCAGAGAGGCCCTTTGGCTGTCCCAGGCGGACATGAGCTCAGCTCTGCAAAGGGACAGGGGGTCTCGGTCCAGATCGGCAGAGCCGGGACCTTCCCCGCCGCGCAAATGAGCACGGAGCCACTGCAGTCAGACAGACGGCACCTCCTTACACGCGGGCTGGTTTCAGCTCACGGCTGTGATTTAAATACTAGCGATATTCAAACGCCTCCCATGTGCCTTGCGTTCCTCTGGATCAAACTCTGTTGCCTTCAGAGAGGCATTTCTTGGTTAAAAAAAAAAAAGGCTGCCCGCCTGCCTGTAGCACTGGTCTGTCAGACGTGTGACGATGGGTCTGGTTTTCATTCCTGAATTATCCCCATTAATCACAACGTCTATTCGAAACAGCTGCTGCAAAGGTCCCTGCCGTTGTGCAGTGGAAAAATTCCAAGTGCTTGTATTTTCCCTTGTAAGTCAACGCTACATGCTCAAAACATTTGTTTCGTATTAATGCTCTGCCTAACAGTCCGTCCATTTGTGTTTTGGGGGAAAATGATTTGAAGGAGCTGTCTTCAACTGGGAAGGAGTTGCAGGCCACAGTCACTTGTGGTCCGAACATGTGGAGGGCACCTGAAGGCAATGGAGTCACCACTCTGACAGGGGTAGGTTTGGCTCAGTGCGTGCAGGAGGTATGATGAAGAACTAGCAGGAGGCTTGCTGCTTGGGACTGGATTCAGAGGAAACTTGCAGCATTTGCACAATCGATGCAGACTTATGTTTCTGCAGAACTGGATGAGAATTGTAGATAAAATGGTCCATGTATCTACTTTCTGCTGCAGCTTTGGTGGAAAATGCTGGGCAAAAAGCCTTCCCCGTGAGATACCATGGTACCATTGTGCCTGGCTCCTAACAGGATCAGGGGACCGGGAGCTAAAGGAAGATTAAGGTCCTGGAATTCAGCTTTTAGGTCTGGGTCCAAGTTTCCCAAAGTTTTGCATGTGGGATGGAGCTGAGGTTTGGTTCTTCACAGAATGCAAATAGATAATAATCCCAAAATTAGCAGGCACTTGGGATAAGCAGCTGTTTTCTGTGCTTTTCCCACCCCAGCCTCACCAAGACATTTTGGAAATGGCTGTAACGTGTTCCTGGGAGGACATCTCTAATGACTTGTCAGCCAAGTTAATAGGGCAGCAACATGTGAATCCGGTCTGTGCTCTAAACCCTTTTTTTTCCCCGAGCATATAAAAACCAAGCCCTCCCACACTCATCGTGCGTGAAACAGTTCAAATAATGCCATCCTGAACTGTGGTTTCCATTACTGCAAAGTTATTTCAGTGCCCTGGGTAGCTTTAAGAGCCCATAACAGTTCAGTCAAAAATGAAAATGAAGTCTCATTAAAATACATTCACAATAGGAGGAAAAAAGGCCCCAGACTGTGTTTTTTTAAGTATTTTTTTGTCCTGAATCAGCACTGATCTCTTCTAGTTAAACTTCCTTTCTCCCAACTAGCCAAGTCCAAAGACAGTTTTGATTCATTTCCAGATGAGTTTTCCGAACAATGCTTGAGGTTTCCAAGTTTGCCATTTTATCTCTAGTCCCTGCCTGCCAGCCCTTCTTTCCCCTCTTTGAAATTTGCTGTCTGATTAGCACTTTTGCAGATTTCCATAACATCCCACAGTTCCTGAGCCTGAAAGCCAAAAAGCCAAACAGAAATAGTATCTCGCCTGCGGAGCACTGTCGTTATTTCCCGTGCGGCCGGTCCTGGGGCTGATGCTGCTCATGCACGCTGCAGCAGATCCGAAACGCCCGCTCCTCCACTTCCCAGGCTGCCCCTTCCAGTGCAGCTTTACGTGTGCGGGAAGGTGCCACATGGTCAGCCCTGATCCGCGCAGCCTGTGCTGGTTTCAAGCTGTAAAGAGCTCCTGTATCAGCAGGACTCGCACTTTTTTAATGTTTTTGGAGGCAGCCGCGTAGCCATTGGCAGCTCCCTCACGTCTCTCTGCGGCCAGAGCCGCAGCCCGGGCCAGAGCTTCCCACGGGGGGGACGGGGGCAGGCTCCAAAACCCGGTGATGAATTTAGCCTTGGGTTCGTCCCCGCTGTGTGCTCACGCGCGTGCGACATAAACAGAGTTCCTGTTCGTAGCAGGGCCATCATCAGGATTTGTCAGCACTTGTGTAGGGTCAGGCTGGCAGTGCTCCACACTTCACGTCACTTTGTGGGGAAAGCAGGTACTGCACCTGGGGGTGTCTCGGTGTCAGTGTCATCCCCTTGCCTCTTATCTCATACTCCTGCCGTTGTCTCAGAAACTAACTCTTCTTTATGTCTTCTGACACTTTCTCCACTCTGTTCACGAATGTCAACGTCTCTGCATCCCCACGACTTCATGTCTTTCTCTGCTTTCTGGAAGCCATGCCTTCCTCCATTTCCAGCACCGGCAGCTCTGCTGCTGAGCCCATTTTATGCTGTGTGCTCAGAAGGAGCATTGCAGGAAGTCATTAAACCCCAGCAGAAGGCCCAAGGAGCTTCCCTGTTCATAAAAAAAGTTGCCCTTGGAAAATAAAGCGGGTGCACCATTGCCACAGATGGTGCGCGCCCACCTACAGCCCTGCTGTAGTGTCTTATCGTCAACTGCGCTGAATGCAGCCGAATCAAAATTGACATCAAACTAATTGCTTTAGCAATTATAAGGCAATTAGAATAAAAGAATCACCAAGTCTTAATTAAGAAGCAGATTGAACAGAATTTAGCAGCTCCTAGCTGAGAAATATCGAAATCATTTGATATCTGTTGTCTTGAGTAGGATTTCAGATGGCAGGAATGTTTGTGCGGGGTGTGTGTGATGCTCAGAAAGTACATAAATGTGCAATAATTTGCACTTGCCTCGTTGGAAGGAAATTGCTCGTGAACATTAGGGAGAATGGGATGTACTCCAGCACTGAAAAGTTTCTTAAGAAAATAGCTTATGTTTTACTTGCACATCAGCGTAGCAGACAGAAGTGGATCAGAAATCTGGCATTAAACCATGTAGCTGAACCGAATCACAAATAGCTGGTCCCTGTTATGTTTTTTGTTTTCATTGCAGCAGTGTCACAATTCACCTCTCTCCTGTAAGACAAAGTTTGATGAATGTAAGGAATTAAATGGTGTGTTTGCTTGCTGTTGCATGGGAACAGCTTGTTGACCCTGATCCTTTCTGTTTTGCTGTGATCAGGGCTCTGCTGTGGTATGAGAAGTATGGAATGCTAGTTCCAGAGCCACAGGCACACGCAGTGGGCTCACTTCCATGCATTTCAATGGCAAACCAGGCAGCGCAAAGAGGGGTTCAGCTGGTACCTTCATGAGAAAGCTGGGCGCTCAAATACCTCTGTAGACCTGGATTTTTGTGCACATCAGCCCTATCCTTGTCCTGCTGAGTGGAGTACATTGTACAGTATGTGCTCTGTCAGATTATAAGAAACATCTCTGTACTGGAGTATGCCAGATTTTCCCTGAAGTTCGTGTGTAATTTCACATGTAAATTAATGCACATTTGTATTTTGCTGAGCATCATGCGTGCACGTACTCAGCACGGCTACACATACGCCCCTACCTTCTGAGCAGTACCCGAGCACTCTGCCCGTGAGACAGCAAATGCTGGCACAGCCTGTTGGTGGCAATCCACACCCTACAGTACTTGCTGTAGAACTTGGATGGGGTATGTTGGTGCTGACAATCACAGTTCACCTTCCCTGAAAATCGCCCGTGGCTGTTGTCAGCTGTTATGTCCCCTTTCCCGTCTGCGCTGTCACGTTGCCACAAGTCTGAAAACTTTTGAGCAGCCTCAAAGAGATGCTGGTGAGTGACGGCACTGAGCACCCGCCGGAGTTCGCAGCGCCTGGCATGGACCAGTCCTGCTTCCCGGCGCGCAGAGCCACACCAGGGTTTTTGCTTGCCTTCAGTGTCCACGCAGAGTCTGTCCCCACCACGCCGCTGGAAGGAGTTCCTGCCACCAGGTCCCATTTGCTTACATGGTCTTCTTTCCTTCCCCCAGGAGACGGTCGGAGAGCCCTTCTTCCTGTTGATCTGTGCGATCAAACAGCAGATTAACAAAGGGTCCATCGATGCCATCACGGGGAAAGCCAGGTACACCCTCAACGAGGAGTGGCTCCTGAGGGAGAACATCGAGGCAAAGCCGAGGGTGAGTACCTACGCCCTGGGGGTCTGACGGACGTGTACCCTAGCGGGGTGGCTGTCAAGCGGCTGATTTGGTACCCATGCAGGTGCGATAACCATGTAAATTATACACCTGCGCAGGCACCTTGCCGCTGTCTAAGCACACGACTACAGAATAAGGCTCATAATGACTGTTTGTTTTCATGTCCGTCCCTTGATGGGTCACCTAAGAACCTCAGATTAGGAGTGGAGGGAGGTAAGAAAATTTGTTCTGCCATATTCAGAGAGTTAAAGCAATAGGTTTACCGTTCCTGGCAAAAGAGCATCTTCACTAGCAGTGGGAAGGTGCTGGCTCCAAACCTGAGTCCAGGGTGAGGGCTTTGCCCAGGCTGTTACAGGAGTGGTCTTGAAAAGCAATTCTGCAAAATGCCTCCTGTGGGAACAGGGCAGATGAGAGCTGTGCATGTGAAGGGCTTGGTTCTCTTCACTGCCTGACACAGAATTCAGCAGACGCCTTTCCAGAGCCTGGGTCAAATCCTGCTTTCAATTACCTGGCATAAATCTGGAGCAGCTTCACTGAAGTCAGTGGGTTACCCCAGATGTGCGTCACCGTAACTCAGAGCAGGTTCAAGCTCCCCATGCTCTGCAGATTCCTGTTACCAATTGACCTGTAAATTTACAGCGCAGAATGAGAGGGGTTAGCAGCAGGGTGCAAAGTATTAGCTTTCTCGGCAGAAATGGTAACTTCATAAGTCTGAGCAGGGGAAGTGCGGCTGCTTCCTAATTTGTTCGCAAGAAGAGAAACAAAAGTGAACAGGGTATGTTGGAGGAAGGATAGCAATGCAGGGTTAGTGCTAACTCACCGGCAATGCCCCACATTGCTGGTAACTGAACCTCTGCTTTAAAAAACACCTGTATACAATGTGAAAAAACATCTTCATTTAATGCTATGGAAAAAATTGGACTTCATCTGTGCATTCACATTGTTCTCAGTCAAGGATGCTGATCTGTATCCTGATGCTTAAAAGCAGTGTTTGCAAAGGAACCTCTAGGCTGTGAAAATCCCAGCTGTAAATCTTAAATGTACCAGGTGTCTGTTTAAGAGGCAGCTGTGCTTATGCACAAGCAATGCTCCTGGCATCTGCAGCTTCCTGCCCTGGGCTTGCCAGCCAGGCAGTGAGATGGCTTCGGGGTTTCATCCACCACTAAATGAAGACGCAGTGTTGCCCTTAGGTTCGAGCACACCAAGAAGCGGAGGACTCAAGCAGAGGCGGAGCTGAGGCTGTCCCAGAGCAAAGCCCCTGGGCAGGAGGAAAACGCCATACTTGTAGCTTTTGGGTCTGCACAGCTTGCGAGAGAAGGAGGCACCTGGACTCTACCCCTCCTCGATTGACTGGTGTGGCAGCAGCTCCCAAAAGAGGAGAGGGTATTTTATAGGAAGAGTGACTCTTACTGCCCTGCAGCTTTCTGCTGCGACTGTAGCAGTATCTGGGCATCCCTGAGGTTTGAGCTGGTGTTCCAGGCCTCCTGCAGCCCCTTGCAGCTGCTTGTCCCGCTGTTCAGTACGTTCTGGAGCAGGTTATTGGGTGGTGTTGGTGGTGGACTCCAGTGTTGCAGCAGACCCAGCCTGCAGCGTGCTTAAAGCTTGTTTAAACAAAGGAGCTTGGCCCATTGCGTCAGGGAGAGGCTGAGCAATGAGCCTTGGCGGTCCCATTTGTCACCGGTTGGAGCCAAGAAGCTGAGGACATGACTGGTTATGGGGGCTGACCTTTCCTCACACTCCCGAGGTGGTCTCTGTGTGTCAGGGCTAAGGCCCATTAGCAAGGCAGCCGTGAAAGGAGGTCGCAGTGTTGCTCCCTGTGTCCTCCTGGCTCTGTCAACAAACAGGGGCCTTCAGCCTCCGAGGGCTATAAATCAGTGCCCTTCACTAGTGGTAAAGCCTATATAACTGCATTTGTTCAGCCTGATTTCCAGCAGCGCGGGGCCCAGAGCGCAGCAGCGAGAGCTGTGCAGGCGCAGCAGCCTCTGTGCGTCCTTGGGAGCCAGTAGAGCTGGGCAGGTCACCCCTAACCCAGCCTCTGCCCGCAGAACCTCAACGTCTCCTTCCAAGGCTGTGGGATGGACTCCCTGAGCGTCAGGGCCATGGACACGGACACACTCAGCCAAGTGAAGGAGAAGATTCTGGAGGCCTTCTGCAAGAACGTCCCCTACTCCCAGTGGCCAAGGGTGGAAGACGTCGACCTCGGTAAGGACCAGATGCATTGGACCGGCCAGTCCTTAAAACCAGATGAAGCATCTGATGTTGCACAGTAGCTCTTGGTGTCTATCAGAGGGCAATGGGTGAAGCAGCCCTGACAAGAGGGCAGACATCAAGGCAGCCTTTTCCTGAGGATGGTCTTCAGGAATGAGTGATGGGACCAGATCCTGGTGCGCAGGAGGGAGCCATGTAACTGGAAAGAAGCTTTAGGAAGGCCCAAGTTGAGCAGAGGGATGCTTGGACTGGCACCCTTTAAAGCCTATAGTCTTAACCCACTAAAACAGCCCTGAGCCTGCACATGCCTTGTTAATACATGTCTCTCCATAAGCAGCTATAATTGAGCGCATGGACTCCTGTCCTGCCATAGATTCAAATCTGTCATTTACCTACCCAGTGGCCAACTTTTTATGCCAAAATTTAAGAAGGATCCAAACCCAATGCTGGCGAGAGAAACCCATGCTGTCTGTGGTGCCTCCCGTGCCACGCAGTGGGCCATGGAGACACACCGTGGCTGGCAGCAGTCGCAAGGCGTGACGTTCAATGTAGTCAGTGCCAGAGGGAGTCTCTGTAGAAGAACGCCCTGGGCTGGGGCAGTGATGGGGCCCCGCTCCTCTCAGCTGGCGCACGTGGCATCTCCCCCGGTCACAGATACATGACCAGCTCTGCCTTGCGGGGAACCGCCACTGACCTTCAGTGGCCACATGCAGGCCACGCGGCATCTCACCTGCCTGGTGCTCCACACGGCAGGTCCCACATGGCCCTCAGGGGGGGAGAGGGGAGAGGGGAGGGGGGAGATGTGCTCCTCCCTGTTTCTCCAAGCAGGGCCTTTGTCACCTCTCCCAACTCCATCCAGGTCTACTCTAGTCTGGAAATGCCCACTCCAGGGGCTAACCCTGGAGGCCATTGCTAAACATCTGCTCTGGTTTAGAGAGCCTCGGAGGCCTTGGCAGCAGGGCTGTACAGCCCCCGAACGCTGCGTGGCTGGTCCCTGGAGCCCCAGACCCCGCTGCACATGCCTCCTTCGTGCTGGTGTCTCACTTCTCCCTTCTCTGTATTCAGAGTGGTTTGCCACCAGCACCGACAGCTACATCCTCCGGGACCTTGATGACACCTCGGTGGTGGAGGATGGCAGGAAGAAACTCAACACATTAGCACATTACAAGGTAAACCTAATGGCGCTGCAGGAAAGCTTTGCTTCCTTGGAGCCTGCCTGGCCTCAGGGGTGAGCTGCGGTTCCCCCTCCAAAAACAGGATTATCAGGAACAAGCAAGGAGGTTGCCATAGATCCGTGAGAGCTTCCGGGGAATAGACATCTGCCCTGGCGAGAAGCTTGTTAATATTGCAACACACTGAAACTAATTAAACACTCTTCATGCAAAACAAGTTATTACTGACAACAGAAAGAGAAGGAAAAAAAAGCATCTATTCCCAACGGCCACCAGCTTGGCTGATTAGGATCACTATGCTCTTGATTCTTGACCCTGAAATTACTGGCGCAATTGTCGCTGCCTGCCCTCAGAGCAGGGGCTATGGATGCCATCGAGGAGCAGAGGCCAAAAGTGTGGGGAAATGTGGCAAGTCAAATTGTTTTCTTGACTGTTTTTCCTTTTAAAATTAAATGAAACCAGAAATTCTTACGATTTCCATATTCCCTGGTATGCCTGGGAGCATAATCCGCACTGGTCTGTAACAGTGCATGGAAAATCAAAAACGGAGCTGAGTACTTATTAATATTATTATTTGTGTAACAGCCATGTCGCGGAGCCCCACTGCTGGCACGGTGCCCTGCTGCGGCGAGAACTGGAGCCGCAGCACGGCGAGGTGGTACCTGCCCCGCGGGCCCAGGCTGGGG